GGGTGTAAACGAGGACTGTTTTGGCTGAAGGTGACAGAAAACCCAACCCAAACTGGCTAAAGTAGAAGAGGAACATGGCGGCCCCCAAAAGCTCAAGTGCCTGGGGTATATCTGTGTCAGAGGTGGTAATGGGGCCCCTCAGTGACACCAGGACACACAGGCCACCTGCGCCTCCTCTCGGGAACCTCCATTCTCAGCCCCAGCGTGCCGGGAGCCCCCTCCCCCGGAGTGGTCCGGCCCAGAGCAGCCTAGGCCAGTGGTGGTGAGCCCATGGCACGGGTGCCACAGTGGGCAGTCTGTATCACTGAGCGCTCTGAAAGGTTTGCCATCACTGGCCTGGACCACTGGAAGCACACAGCCATCGTGGAACCAGATGCCATGACTCCACAGACAGGCTGCACCCACTGCCTCGGCAGCATGGGCTCCACTCTGAGCCCAGACATGGTTCCCTGGGCAACAGCCAGTGGCTCAGGAAGGAGAAACAGACACTGCCGGGAAAGCAGCAATTGAATGTCCAATGTGTGAAGACAAGAGCTGGAGCCAGAAAGGCCTAAACATTAGTGCCACTCACTCCCAATACCAGTGTGAACTTGCAATTCACTTCACCTGCCTGGATTTGTTTTATTTATCATCTCAAAATCATAAGATACCAACTGGGCAAGGTGGTGCATGCCTGTAATCCCAGTGCTTGGGAGGCTGAGGCAGGAGGATTTCTGTGAGTTTGAGGTCAGCTGGGGCTACAAGTGAGTTCAAAGCTATTTTGAACTACTTAGGAAGACCCTGTCTCAAAAACACAAAAACAAAAAAATTCACGAAATACCTATCCAATAGGGCTGATGGGAGTCAGCTTAAAATAATATAGAAATCTTACAACTTAAAACTAAAAAGACATCCCAGTTTAAAAATGGGCAAAATATATGAATAGGCATTCTCCAAAGAAACTGTGACTAAGAAGCACAAGAAAAAATGTTCAGCGTCATTATTCACCAATGAAATGCAAATCCAGAACAAAAGATATCTCTTCAACCCTCTGGAGACGCTGTAACTATAATAAAAAAACACAGGTGTTGATGAGACGTGGAAAAACTGAAACTCACACATAGCTCGTAGGAATGAGAGAGGATATCGCTGCTTTGGAAAATAGCTGGGTGGTTGCTCAGAAAGTCAGCCATAGCTTTACCCACATCAACACCACCACTCTTTGATACAGAGTACATGGAAGAGCTCTAAAAATACGTTCACAAAAACACTGCGTGTATTCATGACAGCACTATTCATAATAGCCCAAAGTACAAACAACTCAAATGTCCCTCAACTTTTGTTTTGTCTTTTTGAGACAGGCTCTCGTTATGCACTTCAGGCTGGCCTTGAGCTCACTTTGGAGCTGAGGCTGGCCTCGATCTCACAGCGACCCTCCTGCCTCATCTTCCTGAGTGCTGGGATTGCAGGCGTGCACCACCACGCCCAGCTTAATGTACCTCAATTTATGACTGAATAAAAAATACAGCATTACCTCTACCATGAAATATTATCCAGCCACTAAAAAGGAGTGCTGCACTGACACATGCTACAGCATGGATGAATCTCAAACGCATCAGGGTGAGAGAAGCCCGTCAGGAAAGGCCACAAGTTGTATGCTTCCATTTATGTAACACGTCCAGAACTGGCACAACCACAGAGACAAAAACAGATCAGTGGTCGCCAGGGTTGGGAGAGGGAGAGATCCGAGGTGACTGACGGGTAGAGGTGCAGGTTCCCACCTGAAGTAATGAGAAACTGTGGGATTAGTGGTAGTGGCGGCACAGCCTTGTCGTTAAAACTCACTACGCTTTGCACTTTAAAGGGGTGACTTTATGAAATGTGAATTCTATTTCTGAAGAGAAAGGAAGAAGCAGCCTTAGCACGTAGGAAGTGCTCGACGACGTTCTGCAGGTGGTGTGAAGGACAGGTCTCAAAGGCCGCCTCCGCGAGGCAGGCCGGTCCTGGGGCGCAGCCCGGCTCTCACGGGCCGGTAGGGGTCCTAGTGCGGGTCAGTCCGAGAGCTGCGGAGGGAAAGGGCGAGGCCACCGTTTACCTGCTCTCAAGCGGGGAGCAAGCACGCCCCAATGCTGAGAGCGAAGAGCGTCACCCCGGCTTCCGCACCCTTAGCCACCCTGCAGGTCGACTCGGAGTCCCGCGCGCCCTCCGGGGGAGCAGGGCGTCAGCGCCAGCACCTGTCGGCGCGGGTCAGCAGCCCCGCTCAGCCCGCGCGTCAGGCCGGGCCGTCGGCTTCGCCGCCGCA